AAATAATAAGTTAAATAAAAAAGAGTAAGTTAAATAAAAAGTAATGTTAAAGAAAAAAATAACAAGTTAAAAAAAAAATAAGTTAAGTAAAAAATAATAAGTTAAATAAAAAGGAGTAAGTTAAATAAAAAGTAAGATTGTAATTTTGGTAATATGCATTTAAAAAACAAAGAAAAATTGCAATTATAGAAATCAAGTGTATATTTAAACCAGCATTCAAAGCTAAAATTAAAGAGATATTATATTTAATAAAGTTGGATGCATCATAAAAGTAAGAATTTAAAAAAGTAATGTAATTTTTGATATTTTGTGATTTGGTATACCAGGAACATAGTGAAACCAAGTGTCTAAACATTAATAAAATCTTGAATCTGATTAGCTGAGAACATTTCTTACTATGCTATGCTTATTCCACTGCTGATTTGATAATTAAACATTTGAATTATAGGTTTTATTTAATCATTTTTCATTATATAAATTACATATTTTTTAATAATCACATTAAGATCTCAACTAGGGATGGATTGGTCTCAAATTGGTTCCAAATTGGTCCTGTTGGTCCTAAGCAGATTGCAAGTTTTTGAGATCATTTTTTCTTCATGAGCCACTAATTAAAGTTATTTTAAACAAAATTTTAATAGTACTTATTTATTGAAAAATAGTGGCAAAACATCTCAAAAATTCAAAAATTTTCAAAATGTAAGAGTTAGAACTGGTCTTAAAACAGATTTAGAACTGATACAACCTACTGGTTAGAGTAGATCTGCCATTATTTCTCAATAGGTAAGTATTATTAAAATTTTGGTTTAAATAACTTTAATTAGTGGCTCATGAATAAAAGATGATTTCAATCTATAATAGTAACAAAAACAACTTTAACTTGGATTGAAATATGTTTTTATTTTATTTAATACTTTCATAATGGCATTGTTGCTATATAATTGCAGAACTTAAAGCTACATGATTGCAAAACTACATAATCACAAAAATCTGCCTTTAGTTTCATATCATGTTTTTATTGATAAACCACCTATGCACTACCCTATAATAATATTGGGATGGAATTGAATACCACGCTGCTATGACCTTTTCTTCCAAATCATCAATATTTGTAGGTTTATCCAAAGAATTATGCAACCGTCTTTCAACTTCTTGCTACATGAGTTCCATTGGACTCATATCTGGACTTTGGGCAAGCCAAGGGAGGATGGGAATACTAGCTTGTTTAAGAACTTCTTTAACTTTCCAATATTTATAAGGGGTAGCACTGTTTTGCTGAAAAATATCTTGCTCATCAAAAACTAGATGTCGTATAGCAAAAATAGCATAGTTTACTATAAGTTTAGCATAAACTTCACTATTTACATTGCCACAAATAGGGACTATCAGTCCTAGTCTATACCATGAAAAGCAAGCCCAGAACATAAGACTAGAGTTATGATTTATGGTAGAACCCAGACGCAATTCATCAAATTCTTCATTGAGAGTACACTTAAAATTGGACTCATCTGATCAAATAATATTATGCCATTTGCAATTCCAATTTAAATGGTTTTTCACATTAGATTCACCATGGCTACAGTCATAAAGGATTTCAAGTTGAAGATTAGACATTTTTTTTCTTTTTGCCACTATGATACAAAACTTTAGAAGCTAATTCTATTCTAATCATCCTTTTATAATCTTTTTGTTTTTTTTTTGTTTTTTTTTAACATAATATGTCTAATTTATTAGACTCATAGTATGTTTTATTTGCATTTATGTAATTGGTGCTTAGAAAGATGATGCTATTCAGTATTATATGAATTTTCATAATATAATTTTCATACTCAAATAATAGCTTTGATAATTTGCAAAAGTAATTTTAAAGGAGTATAATATAGTTTACTTTTCAGCAAAAAAGTATATCCTCAAGTCTTGCATTATTAAAATAATTTGTAGATTCACTTTATAGTATTCTACACTATTGATAGTTACAAGAAGGCACAAATATTTTAAATTATACATTCTGGTTAGAGATGAAAAAAACATGTATATATATATGTACTGGTACATAATTACTTATTATATAAAAAATTAAATCACACTATGCGACAATTTACTAATAATACAGTATATACTTAAAATTAACAACATATCTAACTTGTCTTGTATGTAGTGAACAGGAGGAAACATATCTGATCCAAAGTGAATCCCACATATGGTGTGATCAATTAAAACTGAAATTATTTATATTGGTTATAATTGATCATGCTATGTGTAAGATTCACTTTGGATCAGATACGTTCCCTCCTGTTTATGTAATATAATTTAATTGTCATACAATAAGTAATTACCTTGTCTATCTTAAATTTTGACAGATAGTTCATCAATATAGAAGTATGTATTGCACTATATGAATATCGTAATAAATATTTATATATTTTAAGTGCTGTCTTTAATACTGAAAATCATAAAGAGTATTATAAAGGGTGTCTTTTAGTCTACACCATATGGTAGTTTGTATGTAAATATACTTTACTTGGTGGATAGTTATGATAATATACTTTACTTGGTTAATAGTTATGCTAATAAGTAATAATGCTATTACATAACAATGTTGAGGTTAGTTTAATTCAAGTTAAATTAAATAAGAAAAATAAATTAAATAGATTAAAGAAAA